ACTAGTTTTTTAGTATAAGGAAACCCTCAACCCACCCCCCCCCCCCTTTTCCGCTTTTGAGAATATAACAAGACCCCCACCCCCCCCCCCCCCCCTTATCCCCCCCCCCCCCCACGTATAAGAATATGTGATTAAAAAGAGGAGGACAAAAAGAAAAATCTAAGCACTAAATAAACAGTTAGGGGTAAAAAAAAGTCCATAAAAATGAAAGTGTCAAATAACGAAACAATAGTCCTGATGATATTTGCTTTTTGTTGTTGTTGTTGTTGTTGGGTGGGTTAGGGTTCTGTTGTTGGACACGGCACAACGGAGATCACTCCCCACACCAAGCTAGTGACGCTGTTTTGTTTTCAACTGGTAAAGCTAAAAATCCCGATTGCTAAAATTATTTGACACCCTCCACTATTTCTTCTTCATGTCGCTGTTGACACGTACAGCCTTCACAAGTATTGTCCCATCGCTGCCGGTCTGCTGCGTTTGTGCCTACTGTGTCCCACTGCATTGGAGTTAAAAATCTACTCAAAGTATTTCAGGATCCTCGCCGATGCTGCAGAGCCTGTGCACTGTGCTGAGCTTCTTCGGACTCAGTGTGCCATGATGTTGATCCGTTGTTTAAAACCTCAAAACCTCAAAATTCAATTCCCCCCCCCCCCGGTCTACTGTCATTCTCCAGGGGAGTCAACATGGTGTGGCGGCTAAACGCTCGCCTGCTAATTGGAAAGTGGTGGGTTCGGGTCCCGACGGAGAAGAACTCTGACATTTAAAAAAAAATGACATTGGCCCCCATGTCGGCCCGGCCTCAAGTGGGTACCAGGTGCAGACCTAGGAAGTAAAGGCGTGGTGCTGACCACATCACCCACCAGGTTACGATTGGGTCTACAACATGTAGGTCTAACCCCATTCTGATCTTCATCTTCCATTCGCCTAGATACTTAAATTTATTGCCCGAGACAACAATACAGAATTTAATTGTTCATTAACGAACAACCTTTTATTTGATGTTATCATTACTTTAGCCTCCCTCCTTATTACAGCTGATTTCCCATTCTACAACCACCGTTCCTTATCCACACCCCCCCCCCCCCCGCCCATCCCCATTTGTAACCCCCAAGACAATGTCTTTAGCATAGTTTCTTTCTCTCTCTCTCTCTCTCTCTCTCTCACACACACACACTATCTATGTGTGTGTTTTGTGTGTGTGTGTGTGTGTGTGTGCCATTTGTGATAAACAAGTGTAAAAAAAAAAGAATTGTGTCTAATATACTTAGACAACTGATATCTGTTTGTTGTAATTTAGCGAATTGAGGAAACATGTTAGAACAAAACTGAACAATCAGGGTTGCAAATAATACGTTATTTTCATAATTTATATAAATATTTTTTTTTCTATTTTACCTTAAGTGAAACAAAAAGTCATAGTTGTATGAATAAGTAAAGTAAAAAAAAGTAAAGGACCCTTTCCACGCCTTTAGGCGTATAGGGCATATAGGGCTAGACCTATATTTGTATAGACCAACGGCACAAGATGGGTGATGTGGTCAGCATCACGCCGGCCGCCTCTACTTCCCGGGATTGCACCCGGTACCCACTCAAGGCTGGGTCGACCTGGGAGCCAAGGTCATTTTTGAAGAAAAGTCCGTCTCCACCAGGGAGCGAACCCACGACCTTCCGATCCGTGGCGCGCGTCTAGCCGCTCTGCCACGGCGACTCCCAGTTATATGAATACTCAGCAAAAAATAACATTAAAATGCACATTTGCATGAATAATACAGGATCTTTATGGTAATGTTTTCAAACATTTTCTCCCATACGTCTCTTGACTCGCGAAGCAGTAAAAAGGAAATGAAACAAAAAGAACAAGATCAACAGAACAACGGATCCACTCTGGACTACAAGTTATGTAATCTTTTTTTTGTTTTTTTTTTGTTTCCGGGACTTGAAGGGTTTGATTCTCATATGTGCGGTGATATTCTTGAAGAATGGAAATCTGGAGAGGGAAAAAAGAAAACAAAAACAACAGAAGAAAAAGAAGAAGAAGAAGAAGAAGAAGAAGAAGAAGAAGAAGAAGAAGAAGAAGAAGAAGAAGAAGAAGAAGAAGAAGAAGAAGAAGAAGAAGAAGAAGAAAAAGAAGAAGAAGAAGAAGAAAGAGGAGGAGGCGGAGGAAAATAAGAAGAAGAAGAAGAAGAAGGCGGAGGAGTAAAAGAAGAAGAAGCAGAAAAAGAAGAAGATGAAGAAGAAGAAGAAGAAGAAGAAGAAGAAGAAGAAGAAGAAGAAGAAGAAGAAGAAGAAGAAGAAGAAGAAGAAGAAGAAGAAGAAGAAGAAGAAGAAGAAGAAGAAGAAGAAGAAGAAGAATGTACTTTTCCTAAGTATATTCATACAGTCACCATCTATAAGAACAAAATGGCGGCCACTTTTCTAGATAAAAAAAAACAACAACAACAGGAAGTAAGCAATGGAGCTTGCTACTTAATCTCATATAACCGTGAATTAACATTTGTAAAAAATAAAACAACTCTACCTCAAAACCTATTTTTGAATTATCTTCAATAATAGCACCAATTTGTATGTACATAACATAAAACAAAATCACCAGGAACTTAAGGATCAACAAAGATGCACCAAGGTTTCAAGATGTGTGCACGGATGACTGCTGATTATAACAGCTTACGCAAATACAACCAAGTATTGTAACAACTCTTTTAATATAAAAATTACTTTCCATATTTGTTTTCTGTGCATCCGCGGGTATACCCACTTATGTTATCTTGGTTGGATACTGAAAGATTCTGAAAAAAAAAAAACACACACACACACACACACACACACACACACACACACAGAGCTTTAAAACAATATCCCCCAAAACAAATTCACACACACAATATATTCACTTCTATAAACACAGAACTTTCCTATGTACTCGTCGGCTCTGTGGCTAAGTCGATGCGAACGCTTCGTAATGCCGGGATGCCGGGTTTGATCCCAGCTGCGGGCCATGTGCCTTGCGTTGGTTTCGACAGTGGTATCAAGAAAGCCGACCGTCCAGGAAGAAATGGCAAACTACTGGACGTAAATTTGCCTAGAAAAACCAAACAACAGCCAGGGGCTATTGTGGTTGGTTCTGCAATGTCCTGTAAGAGATACGCAACTAACCCATGTACACAGTGCCGGATGTAGGCATGCAATAAACAAGTTACAGCATAGGGCCTTAATAAATTCCTTTTTTCTTTTTCACAAATGCAATTTGCTTTCAACAGAGTCCTGTCCGTGTAGGTTCCGTGACCCCATTGTGGGAAAAACAGAATAAAACCTTTGGCTCCGTAACAAGCATGTCGTAGGAGTCGACGAATTGATAGCTTCATTTAAAGTCGGAGTACATCTGCCTGATAAACAATGAACAGCCAACTGCACACAAATAAGCCAGTAAAACAGATGTACACGTAAAACAAAAGTACTGACAAACATGGACAAACAACAAGGACTTTCCGCCGGAAATTGCAGCCAGTGACAACGACGACGACGACGACGATGAAGAAGAAGAAGAAGAAGAAGAAGAAGAAGAAGAAGAAGAAGAAGAAGAAGAAGAAGAAGAAGAAGAAGAAGAAGAAGAAGAAGAAGAAGAAGAAGAAGAAGAAGAAGAAGAAGAAGAAAAGAAGAAGAAGAAGAAGAAGAAGAAGAAGAAGAAGAAGAAGAAGAAGAAGAAGAAGAAGAAGAAGAAGAAGAAGAAGAAGAAGAAGAAGAAGAAGAAGAAGAAGAAGAAGAAGAAGAAGAAGAAGAAGAAATAGAAGAAGAAGAAGAAGAAGAAGAAGAAGAAGAAGAAGAAGAAGAAGAAGAAGAAGAAGAAGAAGAAGAAGAAGAAGAAGAAGAAGAAGAAGAAGAAGAAGAAGAAGAAGAAAGAAGAAGAAAAGAAGAAGAAGAACAGAAGAGAAAGAAAGAGAAAAGGAGAAGAAGTAAGAAGAAGAAGAAAGAAGAAGAAGAGAAGAAGAAGAAGAAGAAGAAGAAGAAGAAGAAGAAGAAGAAGAAGAAGCGGAGAAGAAGAAGAAGAAGAAAGAGGAGGAGGCGGAGGAAAATAAGAAGAAGAAGAAGAAGAAGGCGGAGGAGTAAAAGAAGAAGAAGAAGAAGAAGAAGAAGAAGAAGAAGAAGAAGAAGAAGAAGAAGAAGAAGAAGAAGAAGAAGAAGAAGAAGAAGAAGAAGAAGAAGAAGAAGAAGAAGAAGAAGAAGAAGAAAAGAAGAAAAAGAAGAAGAACATAACAAAGCCCTTTTCAGGATTATAAATAACAAATATCTGCTGAGTAAACTTTCTTACATAGTATTGCAGGTTACAGGAGAAATGATGTAGCTCATATGGGTGTCCCAATTGTCATTTTACTGAAGTCTAAACGGGGTGGGACTATCCTATTGATGTGCCGCCTGGATTGAGATTTTGATCATCTCGGGTGTTAAATTTTCACACAGCAGCTGAAGACGAGAAACGGCACTCACACAGGCATACCGGCCAATAAACCGTGTAATGTAAATTCACAGTGGGAAAACAGTTACTTAAGAACGAACATCACAGCACATTTTCAAAAGCTCTAAGTCCCCCTATCTTCAGCAGTCCCAACAAGTTCTAGTTCCGATGACAAAAGGAAACAGCATGATTTTTCTGTCCGTCTTGCCTTTACCCTCATTGTTGAGTGTCGACCAGATCCCCTAGTCACGTCTGGTTGCACCATTCTCTTCACACCGTAATGACCCATCTGTGCTTCCGCACTGTTCACTTTCTCTGAGAGAATCTAGCTTTTAATGCATCAGTTTACCAGCAAATGATGCTGAACTGGCCAGTCTGTTTGCTTCTTCGTGTCCAAACACACACGCGTGCCCTGAAGAAAATATCCAATGACGCCAACAACCTTGGACATCAGAAGCACATGAGATAGCATTGTTTTGAGTACTTAATGTAAGTAAAACAGAAAGTCAGTACATGTGTTTTCAGCAGATACAGTATGTTCAAGTATTTTCTAATATCTCTTTACTCTGTCATTATGCAAACCAACTACTTTAACATCCCTGACCCCGGAAACTTGTGGAACGCTTGGTCGAACGTCTAACGTTCTTCCTTTACCTCTGTCTTCAGGCAGCTTCTTTGTATCTATCTTTCTGCTTTTCATTGTATTGTGAGGATGCTGGGGAAAAAATACAGTTAAAATTTGTATAGGTACATTCCAGCATTTATAAAGAGTTAAGTTGGGCTGAGTTAATAAATAGAACCTGTTTACGTTTCCCTGCTGATCTACACACTTTCTCAATCTGATCTAGGTCAGCGGGGTGTCACGTTGTACTGCTTTCTTCGAAAAAAAAGTCTCTTGTCTGACCTGGGTTGAGGCTGTGGGTAGGGGGTTTTGAGTTAGGGCCAGTTCTACATGTTCTGGGCTAGTTAAATCCTATGTCGTCGTGTAGTATAGAACACGCTACATCGACGCCAAACTAATTGGACAGAAGACAACGTGACACCCCTCCGACGTAGAAGAGTCAGAGGGAGTATGAATGAAAGGTCAGGTAAGGTGTAGATGAGCCGGGAAACGTTAACAGGACCAACAAATGACATCACAGCTCACAGGGCGTTCCCATAAGGCACATACGTGTTTCCAGCCCCTATATCGCGACCCAGATGGAAAGGGACATTACTTGTGGGGTCTCTTGACAGTTGTGAGTATGAACCTTCTAAAATCGGGGTGGGGTGGGGAGGTAGGGTGAGGGCTTTCATGTCAAAATGCCCTGCGCTCGAAAAATCTATTTTAAGTATTTTCGTCATTGTCTCATTTACCCTTTTTAGCAGCCTATTTTTAATGCACGGGATAGTGGGTCACTTCAGCTCTTCAAAATGGGGTCGTGGCTTTAAAAAAAAAAAAAGAGAAATACTGGAACCGGCTACCATTAGGGCTCTGTCATCAGCCAGCAGCTTTCAATAAATGAACACACAACTGCATGGACAGGTAACTTCTCAAAGTCCATATGGTATAAACATTTCTTCTTCTTCTCCTTCGCCTTCACCTGCCTTAAACGCTGGCGGAAAGTTCTGGGTGTTCGTCCACTTCTGGACTGCAATCCTGTTCCAGAACTTGAGTGTTGCGTGTGCATCAATTTGACAGATCTGACTAATTTGTATGCAGACTGTTGGTTCCTTGTTTCCCCAGTCCCTCAACTTTCCATTTCCGTGTCTGTTTGATTATCTGTTAGCTGCTTCTCAGGAGCTGTCTAATATACGTTGTCAAGAATGGATACTTATCTTTCGCGATAAGTCACCCTCGATGACGCCACGGGACCGTCCGATATTTCAGAGTGTGGTAAGACCGGGTTTTTCTACTTGTTGGCGCTTTCAACTACCCAAAAACATCTAGAACTGGCCCTAACCCCAACCCGTCTACGTCCCAGGAAAGATTGCAACCTAGTTTCCACGACTGCATGCAGCCTAGGTACCACGACTGCATGCAGCCTATCTACTGCCCCTAAAATATTGGACTGTCTGGGGTGAATATAAACGTAAGCATCAAAGAATGTTGTCAAGATGCCCTCTAATTGTCCCATTTTTAAGTGACATGCTGACAGAATATGGACTGTCCCTTTCTGCCGATCAGCACTAGACTGGTGATTTCTTGACCATCTGGCTAGTAAGCTTTATTTCCCAGGAAACTTTTAGATACTCATATTTAACTACTGCTTACCTGGCAACCGAAGTCAGCCCCAAAAAAAGTCTACCTAAATGCGGACTGGAAGCCGACTTTCGGGACAACATGCAGTCATCTAGCCATGAGGCTATTTCATTGGTACCTAAAGAGTTAACTAATTACTCCAGATGGTTCAGGTAATAGGGAAATTGCATTTCCAACCCCTAATCTAACAGGTCAACCCATGGTTTCTCCGTTTCTGTGCCAACGAAAACTACACAGAATGTCAATTACTGTTCCTTGGGAAAGATTGGACATAGATTGCAATTTCAGTAAATCCAACAGCATACACACGCACTAAATGCCTAAGGCAGCCATCAGAAGTACCAACACCAACAGTCAGATACTAGAAATGCAGTTAATCGTCGATGGAAGCAGCAGTTATAAAGTTACTGATGATTCAAAACAAACTAAATAGCCCGATAAAAGGTAACGGCATGAAGAGTGTGTACCTGCTGCTCAGGGACTGCTTTCGGATGAATTCTTCCCACGGGATAACTATGCAAAGACTCATATCCTGAGCTGCTTCCCATGCTGTCATCTCGAAAATGCACTTTGTGACCTTTCCCATTTGCGTAGCTGTGACCATTAGCTTTCAAAACACTGCCAGTAACACGGCTGCTGTTGGAGTTTGGGCTACTGCAGCTGCTGCTTGCGGCCGATGAAGACAGGCCTAAATCCGTCATGTGGGTTCGGTGTGGTAGCTGTTGCCGACTCTCCTCTTTCAGAAAGAAAATGTCACATGTGAAGAATGCAGTAGTGTAAGATGTAAGAAGCAATGGTAATTACAAATAAAACTGACCCTCCAAAATGCAAAATAAAAGTAAATGGAACAAACCTCAAGCAAGTTGATCTGTTTAAGTACTTGGATACCCTGATAATATCAGATGGAAGATGTTTTAAAAAATTAAATGTTGAAAAGCTCAAAGGCAGCCTTTTACACAATGAAGAAAATTGTATATATTCTTTTCTTGTCAATTAAGACGGGAAAGAGAATTCTTAAAAGCTATATAAATCTTGATACACGGAAGTGAATTATGGACAGTTGGCAGATTAGTCAAAACTTATTTGGATGCTGCGGAGATGTGGTTTTATAGACGAATGAAGAGAATACTTTGGACAGATAACAAAAATAATGAAGACATCCTGCAATAAACTGACTCACGAAGAGAACCTATTGCCCACATCAAAAAGAGAAAATCTACCCTCTTTGATCCTGTGATAAGAATAAAACTAGAATACATCGTGACAGTAGGAAAGTTGAAGGAGAGGCAGAGGGAGACCAAACAGAACAGATGCTGGCAGGCTGATATTATGGCATGGAGGATCATCTGTGTCAGAGTTTACTGAAAGTACACGAGACAGAAGGTTGTGGATAGACATTACTACCAACGACACACGGCGTGGACTATGGGAGACCATCTGTGTCAGAGTTTACTGAAAGTACACGAGACAGAAGGTTGTGGATAGACATTACTACCAACGACACACGGCGTGGACTATGGGAGACCATCTGTGTCAGAGTTTACTGAAAGTACACGAGACAGAAGGTTGTGGATAGACATTACTACCAACGACACACGGCGTGGACTATGGGAGACCATCTGTGTCAGAGTTTACTGAAAGTACACGAGTCAGAAGGTTGTGGATAGACATTACTACCAACGACACACGACGTGGACTATGGGAGACCATCTCGCAAACCGAGTGAAAAGTGTTCTGAGCTAAGATTTGATTAAACATGGTAGGCGGGACAACTCACCGTAGGTTGCAAGATCAAAAATTAATATAGTTGCTTCCCCTATTTCTAATGCTGCTTGCTTGCTTGCTGTACCCAACCAGAACATCACACAAGCGATAAACACCCGGTGACACAAAGTGCCGCCATGCGGATGATGATCACCCTAGAGAGGTCCCCTTTCAGAGTTATGGCTATATTTATGGTCCGGTTACATTCAGGGCCCCCGACAGAAGCCGGGGTGGGTCTTCAAATAACGAAAAATTGTATCCCAAATGGGGACGACTCAATTAAAAAAAAAAACGGAATAGTTGCTTCCCCTCGGTTGGTTACGTCATAATCCTTACGTCCTTTTTAGGGTAAAATCTTTTGTTTGAAGCCCCACCCTGGCTTTTTCCAGGGGCTGCAATATAGACAGGCCATAAATATGGCCAATTGTCTGAACGCGGTTTCTGGGACCTCTCCACGGTGATCCTCATCCACATGATGTGTTTTTCGCTTGTGTGATGTCCTAGTGGGGTAGAAAGTCAGTCAGTCAGTCCCCTCGGTCATGAGAGATCAAGCTGGCACAACACCAGTACTGAATAACATACAAAGGCAGCAAATCAAATAGCGTCCCCTCTTTGAGAAAATACCTTGTGACGCCTCACCATTCAAGGCATACGCCAAACTGGGGAGAAGGATGTAGACCACAAGATATGGAAACGATAGCATCGAAGAAACTCTACAGCAGCATGATGTGTCTATGGTGGAGCCGGTTTAAAAAAAAAAACAAGAACCCAAACATCCTTCGACACCAGAAACGGAAAAAATGAAGTGAAGAAGATGAAGCTTCCCTTTGGATTTCGCTCTATCCCTGTCGGAGAACATCGATTAATAAGGGCAGCAGGAGAAGATCTCTAGGCATGGAGTAATGATCCAGGTTGGCCCACCCTCTGAAATTGTCCTGGAATTCGTGGACCAAAACAATTATTGGCGAGGGATCTTCTACTGACGATTGGTAGACTCCTGCTGTACATGCACGCCTATGGAGTTCTTCTTATTATTGGATACAAAAATATTCTACAGTTAAAAACAAATCGAAAAGAGTTTAAAATCTACCCAAAGTATTTCACGATCTTCGCCGGGGCTAAAGAGTCTGTGCACCGTGTTAAGCTTTGGCCCAGACTTTAGCTGAAAGAAAAACGGAGCACTTATGGGTTACTACCCGTTTTCAAACCTCAAACCTCCCAGTACAATCTGGCCGAGCAAGCAAATACTAGGCCAATAAACCAGATTGTCTTAGTGACTGAGAGGGCGGTAAAGAAATGTTTTAACAATCAGTCTGAGCTTTATAGAACGTTTCGTTTAGAGAATATCAATCTCTTCATGACACACCTGACACCTTTCTCTAGCCAATTCTCCAGCCCTATGTGCTTTCATATCCAATGTGTCTTCAGTGTCTTGTATCTACATTCGTGGAGTTCGGCCTCTGCCTCGTTTTCCGGAAACCGCACCCTCCGTTGCTGTTCTCTCCAGGCCTCGTGACAATAAACATGGCCAAAATACCTCAACTTTCGGTCAGTATGCTGTTTATGAGCCAATTCTCCCCAATGTTCACATCATGGAGGATGTCGGTGTTTTCTCCTCTTGGTCCAGGGTTTCCAAGAATTTTTCTTTAGCATTTCAGCTCGAAAGCTTCGCATGTACCTAATGGTTACATATAAGTTAAACTCGAGAGGATCCGCTTCACTTCACCGGGTCTTATCCCATATGTCTGTGCCTCTCTCCACAAAAAAAGCTAGCCACCTGCCTAGAGCATCACACAAAACATGAATTCCGTAGCTCCGGTGACGATCCCTAGGGATCTCCGTATCAAGTGCACTCGTGGACTTGATGACGAAGCCAGCACCGAGTTTCAGCTCTAGTGGTAACAGAAGCAGTGTGATGATATGCCTGTCTTGCTTATTCTCTGAATGCAGAGTGTCAGCCAGACTCCACCGTCAGCCAGACTCCATCGTCAGCCAGACTCCATCGTCAGCCAGACTCCATCGTCAGCCAGACTCACATCGTCATTCCCTGCTGCATCATTCTCTTCAAATAGTAACGGTCTATGTTTGCCTCCACAATGTTCACATTTCCCTATACTCTTTAAGACTCCTAGCTTGCCCTGCATCAGTTCACCACCTCACTGTGCAGCACCAGCCAATCTGTCTGTTCATTTTCCAACACCTGCACTTTCTGGAGGTAGGTGGATATGTAGTTGTACCCCACCAGGACATCACACAAGCGACAAACACGCGGTGATACAAAGCGCCACCATGATGATGAGGATCACCCGTGGAGTGTCCAAGAAACCCCATTCACCCGTTAGGCCATATCTATGGCTAGGCCATATTTATGGCCCGGCTATCTTCAGGGCCCCCGGCAAAGCCAGGGTGGGGCTTTGATATAACAATTAATTGCATCCCACGAGTGGACGACTTCATATATGCTTTCTGCAGAAAAGTTCAACAGAATACTAACAATTCAGTGGCACTGTTCAATGCTGAAAATAAAAACAACCTGTAAGAAAGGGGAAAAGGGATGAATATATTTACCGGGAAAGCCATTATTTCCAAGTTTTATCTGCTGCAGTAAGTCAGCAATGGAGGCATCCACATCGTAGTCATGCTCTAAGAGAACCTGCCTGATTCTCTCCATATCCTGTTTCAAAATAATAATAAAAAAATTAAATAGAGTGTTATTTCTATTTCATGCGAAAGCATAAACGATGAGAATGTACACTGTGGGCGCATGTGGAATGTTTATAATCAAAATTTAGTACAATGGAAAAAACAAATTACCACAATGAGTTTATATGCATAATTCTAAACTGTAAGGATATTAGAATTCTAGAAGAATGGAGATTTCAGCTCTCTTCTGACACACTACTATATACCAGGGACACTGATACACACAAATAAACCAACGAGGAGGGGTGGGGTTGATTAGTCAGGATTACAGATTATCTAATGAAAGGATGGGACTCGAAGCCTTGTTTAAGTGAGCATTAATAATTGTAATGTGCTAAGTAGCATTTTATATAATATTATGTATAAAATTATTATTTAATATACAAAAATATTTTTAAAAAGATAACTTTTTTAAATTGTAAAAATCGAGGAGATGGATGGGGAGGGGAGAAGGGGTGGCGGAGACTCAGCCGCTTTAAATTTTTCTAAGGGCCATCAAAGGGGCCTAAGTTTCCACCTTCTCAATCCCCACACCCTCCCCTCCGCATTTTTAATCAATCTTGAAGACCTTTTTAGGAGGCAATTTTTCTTTATTTGAAGACCTACTCTGGCTCTTGCCAGGGGTCGCAATATAACCTGGCCATAAATATGGCCTAATGGCTGAACGCGGTTTCTGGGACCTCTCCACGGTGATCCTCATCCACATGTTGGCACATTGTGTCATCGAGTGTTTATCGCTTGTGTGATGTCATGTTGGGGTGAAATCTACAACTGCTAAATGCCTGATGAGTCACTCGTGTGAAAAGCGAGCAAACAGTAAAGGACGCCTTTAGCGGTGTTGGACATACAGGGCTAGACCTATATTCTATAGATCAATCAGCACTCATGGGGGTGATGTAGTCAAAACCATGCCGGTCACATTTACTTCCCAAGACTTTACCTGACATTCATTTAATGGTGAGTCGACATAGGAGCCGAGGTCATGTATGAAACAAATAAAAACACATCTGGCTCCGTCAAAACCTGAACATACGAATGTATGATCCGCAGGCGAACGTCTAGTCATTACACATCATTGGTTCCCTGTATGAAAACAGGTCTTTTACTCTCTTTGCTTCGCTGAGAGTCAACCGGTGAAAGATAATGCACTTACCATACAACTAGTAGCCAAAGCCACACCTGCTTCAATGTCCTCCAGCCCTCGCTTAGCACTGACCACTCCAGCAACAGGTGCCGGCCTGTCGTTTCTGGGCGTAGTTCTGATTTCTGCTGTTAGGGACTGAGAATATATCAAGGAATCGTGGATATATGTTTTTGGAGTCGCAATAACATAGTTGCTAGTATACTTCGGCGAACGGACAGATAGACAGACAGACATACGTACAGAGAAAGACAGACAGGTTATTAGACAGACAGAGATAGACAGACAGACAGACAGACAGACAGACAGACAGACAGACAGACAGACAGACAGACAGACAGACAGACAGACAGACAGACAGACAGACAGACAGACAGACAGACAGACAGACAGACAGACAGACAGACAGACAGACAGACAGACAGACAGACAGACAGACAGACAGACAGACAGACAGACAGACAGACAGACAGACAGACAGACAGACAGACAGACAGACAGACAGACAGACAGACAGACAGACAGACAGACAGACAGACAGACAGACAGACAGACAGACAGACAGACAGACAGACAGACAGACAGACAGACAGACAGACAGACAGACAGACAGACAGACAGACAGACAGACAGACAGACAGACAGACAGACAGACAGACAGACAGATAGATAGATAGATAGATAGATAGATAGATAGATAGATAGATAGATAGATAGATAGATAGATAGATAGATAGATAGATAGATAGATAGATAGATAGATAGATAGATAGATAGATAGATAGATAGATAGATAGATAGATAGATAGATAGATAGATAGATAGATAGATAGATAGATAGATAGATGTGACAGACAGACTGACGCAAGGATTATATTTTTCGCTACAATGAGACTGTGTACCATTTAACATGCCTAATGCTAAAAAAGGAAACAGAATCCGTCTAGAAGCCTATTGTATAAGGTTTAGATTCAAGTAAAAAGACCAGAAAGCGGCTGTATTACACTACACAAAAAAGGGATTAAAGTTTGACTTCTCTATATAATTACGTCTCATTTGAAATGGATTAGGGAGCGATTCAGTATTTTAGCTTTCATATGGAAGGCTTAATTATGTGAGGTATTTAGTGTATGTAATTACTCATTAAAAACAAATTTGAAGTAAATGATGGCATACATTTGTAAATCAGTAAAACACACGCACACACACCTACACAAACACACACACACCTACACAAACACACATACAAGGCATCATAGGAATCACTAGTCCATAAGATAACCAGTCAAATCTATTATTTATGTATCAATAATTTACACACACACACACATACACACACACACACACACACACACACACACACACACACACACACACACACACACACACACACACACACACACACACAATAAAAAATAAAAATTAGAACATCCCTATAGGATCTAGGGGATTTTACAGTTGCTGATTTATTTACTGAATGTTTTCTGTTGGTAAGTAAAATGAATTTGACACTTAAAAGATACATAAAATCGTTTTATCAAAGACACTAGTATTATGTAAGATATCTCAGGGATAAATCCGTTCTCCAGTCCATGCCGGCTTGGTGGGTAATAAACAGACAGACAGATTGGCTGGATCTACACCACTGGGTAGTGAATTCTTTTTCTTCTTCTTCGCGTTCACCAGCTGTACACTCTGGCGGAAGGTTTTGGTTGCTCGTCCACTACTGAACTGCAGTCCTGCTCCAGAACCTGAGTGTTGCGTGTGCATCAGTTTTACAGATCTCATTCTCTTCAATACAGACTGTTGGTTCCTTGCCTCTCCGGCAGATGCACTCCGATTTCAAAGGAAGTTCCACAACTAGTCGACTCTTACGACATGCTTTTGGGGAGGCAGTGGGTCTATTCTTGTTTTCCCCACAATGGGACCCCGGAACCAACACGGGGTATTTCCAGATATTTCCTGTTTATGTTGAACCCCCCCCCCCCCCCCCAATAAGTTAGGATAGCGGCGTTTTGCCACGTTTCCATTATTAGTCGGTAACTTTTTAATTCTGTTGGTAGAGTCTATGTTTTTCAAGGTAATCTTGTAATTTGATCGCAAAAGCTAATCAAGAATATTACCAAACGTATTCCGTAACATAAAAATTCTATAAGTATTCACTTTGGTATGATCTTTACTTGGCTTCAGGAGTGGTAGCAGGTAACTATACAACCAGTCGATTGAAACTGACGCTATTGCAATACTGTTGCTGCTGAAACACGACGCCATCTCCACAAGTTCCTCGTCAGTTAAACTTCTTATATGACGTTTACCTAACTCCATCTGGTCATTTGTTTTCCTCAGCATATGCTTTATATCGTTTACTAGCATAATGTTCTCACGGGACTTAACTGTGATTTTTCTAGTAAGATAAAAAAGCACTTCTGATTGTTCGGTCATTTTTATCTGTCTGCTTTACAGATCTCTTCAGAACCCCCCCCCCCCCCCCCCCCGCCCCTTTCTCAATGTCTGCACATAAATAATCCACATATGTAACACGGAACATGAAACACAAGTTCTAGACCAAGATTTCAGTACAGAAGTAGATAAAGAAGCAGAGCTTTCCCCCAGAGATTTCAGCCGGTGAAGGCAAAGAAGACTGTAGGCATGTAAGATGTACACAACCAGGACATCACACAAGCGATAAACACCCGGTGACACAAAGTGCCACCTTGCTGATGAGGATCACCCGTGGAGAGCTCACAGAAACCCCTTTCAGCCGTTAGGCCATATTTAACGCCTGGCTATAAGATGCTATGAAATTGGCATTACCTGCAAGGAGACTTTTGCCGGAGACTCGGTGTTGTCATTGAGTCGACGAACACTGCTGTAATGTTGGCCGTTATGGTATGCTAAATGAAGCTGGGGTACACTTTCAGTGCTGGTCATGGGACCTTGTATCTAAACAGCAACAGAGTAAGAACAAAGAATCAACAGTGTTGCTTGTTAAAAATCAAAATGGCATCGGCTCTACTTTCGTTTCTGCGTGCACCTTCTTCTTTCTTCATTTATTCCTTTTCTTTCTACTTTCTTTCTTTTTTTCATTTTTGCCATCGGCTCTATTTTAGCTTCTGCCACCACCACCCTAATAAACTAAGAAAACATTGGGAGGGAAGGGGATGAAAGGCTCAGTGCCCCCTACCCACCCCAGACCACTCTCTTCATTCCCTTGGTATTAGCAAGATTGTTTAAGGCTCATATTATTTTAAGTATATTATTGTATTAATTTTGCCATTCGGCACCCTATTGTTATTATTTTTGAATCGCAAATGGCAAATAAATATTATAATACACCTGAAATAATTTGAAAGTCACTAAAGTAAAGTAAAGGACCCTTTTCCACGCCTTTAGGCGCATTGGGCATATAGGGCTAGACCTATGTTTTATAGACCAATCGGTGATATGATCAGAATCACGCCGGTCATCTTTACTTCCCAGGATTGCACCTGGTACCTACTAAAGGCTGGGTCGACCTGGGAGTCAAGCTCGTTTTTGAAATTTGTAAATAAATACTGTCAAAATGTCTGTACTTGGTTAAAGGGGAGCTCTTAGTGCTGTTACATTATTATTTCTAGGGGATGTTGGAGGGGGGGGGGAGGGGGTGGCCTAGAGCGATTAATAAGGTCTTGCTGAAAATGGACGTGTTAGGCCAAAAGGCGCAGTTATCGCAGCCTAGCTTTAAACCACAACACAACGGCCCAACCGCCGTTTAAATGAGAACCCAGATGTAGAAGCAGCAGCAGAGAAAGTCTTTATATTTAAAGGCCAGTTGTGTGTGCGTGCGCACGTGTGTGTGTGTTTATGTGAGTGCGTGTGTGTGTGCCCGCGCGCGCTTGTTACAGACCTTTGCTATCTATCTCTTCTCTCCTGATTGGTTTGTAGACCCGTTTCTTTTCAGTTCGTTATTTTGCGCTTACTCCTTCCTTCTTTCTTCTTCCTTAATTCTTTTACTCCTTCATTCTAACTACTAAATTAACACAAGTTTTTATTGAATTTGTATTACCAACGAAGGTGGGACATGTTAAAAAAAAAGGCCCAGCCACCTAAGATTGCTGATCAGACCCGCATCTACAGAACAACCTTCGATCAAAAGCTTGCAAGCACTTTTGCAGATTCGCCCGTCCGTGACGTAATACGTCACGTGTACCGAATCGGCATGTATATACAAATAGTAGCCAGCCTAACACTGGCCTCTCTAGATGACGGAATCTTCTGCAGCAACTGGCCGGGCTGTTTGTGAGCTGGCGTTGATCTGTAATATCAACGTGGCTCGGATGTCCAAGAAGACACAGCGTTTCTTCTGAGTCCATGCCGTGTGGCGTTGGTAGTCATTTCTATCTACAACCCTCTGTCTCGTGTACTTTCAGTCAGCTGTGACACAGATATTCTTGAATGTCATAATGCCAATCTGTCCAGCATCTGTTCTCTCGGTGTCCTTCTGCGAGAGAGAGAGAGAGAGAGAGAGAGAGAGAGAGAGAGAGACAGACAGACAGACAGACAGACAGACAGACAGACAGACAAACAGACAGACAGACAGACAGACAGACAGACAGACAGACAGACAGACAGACAGACAGACAGACAGACAGACAGACAGACAGACAGTGAGTAGGGGGAGGAGGGAAGACAAGAACAAAGTGAGAACTTCAGCAATAAAACAGTTAAAGGAAATTTAAAAACAAAAACCAAAATAAATTCTAAGACATCCCATGGCACTCACCAGTATGGGCCTGCCTCTGAGCTGATGAATGACCACGTTGACATTGTGAAGTTTTGCAAAAGCCACAATGGCATCATTGCCAGCGTGTGTCCCCAGCTTCTGCAGTGCTTTAACTGTAGAACAGCAAGAGCATTTGTATGGACCTTTCTTTTTTTTTTTTAAACTAACTGCTGTTTTAACAATAACGGTTGGTTGCAATGTATCCACTGTAAGAACATTGCGTGGTGAAGCCCTACTCTCTTACAAGATGTAACATTCATACCACTGTCTGAAATCCAAGAGAAAGGTCTTTTTCTAAACCACCCACCGCGTGCATCAAACCAGGATAAAAACTTTGAGGACTGATTATGAAACCGGCTATCCTCCAAAACACGGTCGCAAATTATCGAGGGCGAAAATATACCCAAAAAGGGCCTTAGTCACGTGTCAATTTCGGACATCCGGCGACTTAAATTGCGCACTTTCGGCGACTTCCGCCACCGCCGAGCATATCCCCCAAACTAGATGGCTGGAACTCACGAGCAGCAGCTACCGCATCTCCTGCAGTTTCCTTCATTTTATTTGCTCGTGAGTCCTAGCCATCTAGTTTAGTCCCAATCCACGCCGCGTGAGCGGCGTTTGGGATACTCTCGGCGGTGGCGGTAAAGACCCCGGAAGTTCGCAATTCGGCGGTGGCGGTATAGTCCCCGGAAGTGCACAACTAACACTTGTCTGAGACCCTGTTAGGGTATTTTTTCGGCCTCGATAAATTGGGACCGTTATTCGGAGGATAGCCATGAAACCATTTCACTGACCTCTGTGTTCACTGATCCACAGGACAAGGGGCCGAAATCTGTGGAGATGCATGAACCCCTAAGCCAGTCGGCAAGGCACGTAATGGTCATGCTGATGATGATGATATCTTTTCACGAACCTCTCAGCCACAGATCAGCACGTTTCTTATTGTCATCATCATCTCGTGTCGTGCCGGTAAGCGTAGACTGTCAGGTGTTGACATCGCACATACAATCCCCAGAATCATTGATCGGTTCAGTGTTTTTGTCTCGACCCCGTCCATCTGGCCAGGCCATCTAGGTATTTATATCTTTGCCTTCCTCTTGTCCTTTTTTCCATCAATATTGCCAGTTGTTATCAAATTCTTGAGCATATTCGATGTCATAATATGTCCAAAATTATTGACCTTCTATTCCTAATTGTTCTAACAAGTTTCCGACATTCACCTGCCTTGATGAGGATTGCTTCCTTTGATTTGTTCTCTTTCCATGATTTTCTTTGCACTCTTCTCAGAAACCACATCTCTGCCATGAACAAAGGGTTATCAGCTTTACTCAATGTCCACGTTTTCCATGCATATAACGCAAACTGTATATAACAAACAGTTTCTTTAATTATTTCTTTTTTTTCCAGCCACAGATGGTGGTAACTGTAACATTGTCTATGCTACCGTTTGTGCACATCAGAATCGATCAATTGATCAGTTTGTCGTCTCTGTGCTGCTACCTTAAAGTTTACCATACCCTCCTGAGATGAACAAATCTCAGCCTGGATGGTGGACGAACAAGGCAGATCACGGGTACCCTGTTCAACCTCCAAAAGAGTTATAATTAGAGCGCCCGTTACGGCTACAACAGCCAAATGAAATAAGCATTAAGTAAAGGGCCCTTTCTCACGCCTTTGAGTCGTACTGGGTATACATGACTAGACCCATATTTTAAAGACCAAATGGCACTTGATGGGTGATGTGGTCAGCATCACGCCGATCGCCTTTACCTCCCATGACTGTACCTGGTACCCACTCAAGACTAGGTCGACCTGGAAGCCAAGGTCATTTTTGTAAAAAAAAATCCGGCCCTCGTCAGCAACCGAACCCACGACCTTCCGATTCTCATGCGAGCGGCTAGCCGCTAGACCACGAAGGCCTTCTAAACAAGTAAAGATGTACTGAAATTATTGATTTAAGAATCGACATCATAGCACACTGGGTATACCTACAGGTGCTCCGTCTCCTGCAGCAAATGCCTTAATGTGTAGATGCTGCTTCCGTAGCACACTGAATATAAACCCGTCTTTCTCTTCCTTTCGGACGTCTTTCCTTGCCTGATCCACACGTATTTCCTCGTTCACACTTTCTTGCACATGTTATATCATCCAACCATTCGTTCGTAAATGGTTTTCAGAATGTCTGCTTTGTCCAGTACGAGTGTTCCTGTTGCTATCGCTTTTGTTGCCAGAAAATGCGCTCTTTCATTTCAGTAAACACCTGTATGCCCAGGACAGTAAATCCACGTGAGTCCCTGCAATGCTGACGTCCTAAAGCTTCGGATCCACTCATGCCGTATTTGTTTATTTGGAACCTTTCGTGGTACCGACTGAGAATCAGTTACTATCATTCGTCTGGTTAACCTGTTTTCTTATATCCACTTCTGAACTGCAGTGAGGAGCTCTTTGGGGGCGACTGAACAGTGCGGAGACACAGATAGATCATAACGGTCTTGGAAGAATGGCGCTGGGAAGAGTTACAAAGGGATCTGCTCAACACTCAGGGAATAGACGAGATGGATATACAATCAGACAGTTACTGGTGCCATCAGACTAGCAACTCTTCGCTTGCTGCTGAAGATGGAGACGGAGCGCTTATGGGGGTATTCCGATTGATGTGACGTCGATTCCTAATTCAACATTCAGAACTGCAGTGTTTTTCTCCACCTTTATCTCATGCATGAAGCTGTAGACAGAAAGCACAATTTTCTTTTCTGCCACGATCTTTTCTTTAACTTTTGCCGAAAAAACCCAGCCAGCTCTTTCAACCAGATTGACAGAACAATCGGTGTACACTATTTCATCATATAGCCCAGCGTTTTCATCTATCAGTTGCTGCAGTTCTAAATCTGCCACATAGTTACACCACTTTCTACATTCTCTTTCAAATGTGAAAATGACCTGATGAAATGTGCTGTTGTTCAAGTAACAAAGGAATGAAAATAGCTGGCTCTTAAAGTTATTATCTAATGCAACTATGGGAGAGGAAAATTAGTTACTGTCGTTCACTTGTGGGATGCTTTTTTAGTTATGTTGAAGCCCCACCCTGGCTTTTGCCGGGGGCCCCAAATATAGCCGGGCCTTAAATATGCCCTAACGGCTGAACGGAATTTCTAGGATCTCTCCACGGGTGATCCTCATCCGCATGGTGACACTTTGTATCACCGGGTGTTTATCGGTGGCGTGATGTCCTAGTAGGGAACATTTACCTACCTAGCCTGGGACAGGAGAAACTGAAATAATAATCTGAAAAGAAAGGCTTGTCGTTGCGTAGGAATTGAACAGAATATGCCAGCTGGTGCTTGTGTATATGTGTGTGCACGCACGCGCGCGCCCGCGTGTGTATGTGTTTAGAGATTGCGATGGAGAGAGAGAGAGAGAGAGAGAGAGAGAGAGAGAGAGAGAGAGAGTTTAGGTTACTATTAACACTAATTACTCTCACAACAAACAAACAAACAAACCATGCTCGTCAAAAGACACGTCATCTTCGACAAATGGCTCAAAATCATGTCTGTGCGACTTGATGTAATTCACAACCTCAGCTCTGTGTTTGAAGTGATTTCTGCAATGTCCCTCCAGTTGGTCGCCCAATGCACGAAATAGGCAGTTCCTGAGGGTGGAAAAACAGACAAGATCCAATGTAAAATAAGTCAGTGCATGAAACCTTTTGTGGTTATGTAAAATACTATTACTCAACAACAACAGGACATTTGTCGGCATCTCTTTATCTTCTTTTTCTTCTTTTTTTTTTTTCCTTCGCATTTACCGGCTGTAAACTCCGGCGGAAAGTTCAGGTTGTTCGTCCACTTTTTGACTGCTATCCTGATTTAGAACCGGAGTGTTGCGTATGCATCCTTTTCACAGATCTAAACTCATTTGCGTGTAGACTGTTGGTTCCTTCCCCTCAGGCAGACGCACTCCAACTAGAAGGAAGCTCTAAATTAGTCAACTTTTACGACATGCTTCTGGGTAGGCAGTGGGTCTATTCTTGTTTTCTCTATAATAGGACCCCGGAACCTCCAGGGGATGTCAGCACATAAGGCTTAGGTCTTGAGAACGGGTTCTGTAATTCACTTCCAGCTGCGGGTGACTTTGCAGCAGACCGCTGTGCGTGGATTTTGACAATGGTATTCAAAGCAGACCGTTCAATCCTTATCATCGTAAATTCTCATTATGTCTAGTGGCACATTAGGCTTCAGAGAGGACTTTCCATGCTTTCCTGTCCCGTCCAATCTCCAGTGCAGTTTTCCATGTCAGAGATGCCGCACTCAGGTCATTTTCCATCGTTCGTAATTTGTTATTGACGTCCAGTAGACTTGTGTTTCTATAATGGGCTTCCTTTCGGCTGTTATCCATGTTGTTCATGCTGACAGGGAGACTCTGTCCCAAGAACGCAGGACGTTTGAGCACTTATTTCCTCTTAAAGCTTTAGTAACGTTGTAGTTTTTTTTTTTTACAGGGCAGAGCTGTCAACTCAAAGGCAATACCAATTTGCCGTGATTGGTTCTGCGACTCCCTGTAGAAAATACGAATCTATAGCCCGTTTCAAATGTCGTAGCCAACTTAAAAAATCTTTAAGTCAGTAACCACTCTGCATACATTGCTGAAACCTGGCCTGCTGCCTGTTTAATGATCATGTCCGCAAAGGAAAATAATTATAATGTAAACAAACATTGCTCTGATAATTGAAGTACAACTAAAAGAGATGAAGTCTTATTACAGGTTCTTGTAAACAGAGTCTTACTACGAATCTTTGGATCCATCAAAGATGCAAACAGTGGTGAATGGAGAGTGAGAAGCAATTACGAAATTCATAATCTGTTTTAAAAAAAAATTGATCACTGGCATCATGAGAGCTAATAGACTGAAATGGTTGGGGCATATTGAAAGAATATCAGATGACAGAGAAGTAAAAACTGTAGACACAAGGGAGATAAATGGTCGTAGACCACGAGGCAGACCAAGAAGACGATGGAGAGATAATGTCTAGGCAGACCTGCTAACATTTGGTGTCACTAACTGAAATTAGAAGGCCAACCAAAGAGATAATTGGAGTCGGGTGATAGCTGAAGCAGTGAACCTCTAGGGCTCGGAATGCTGAAGAAGAAGAAACAAACATATAGCATTTTTTTCTTCTTATTTGTGGTAGATGAAAAAACAGCCAACGATTCAAAGCCAAATATCGACATATTAAAGCAAATGAATAGCACGAACTTGGAATTCCGCGATTCTGGCATGTTGCCACAAATTGAGATTTGCGTGCCCACCTATTTACACATCAAGCTTTTTTGAATGCAGACTGTTGGTCCCTTGTCTCACAGGCAAAGGCACTCTTTGAAGAGAAACACCCGTAATTAGACGCCTTTTACAACATGCTTGTTGGCAGGGGGAGGGGGAAGGGTCCTATTCTGTCTATCCCCTCCAAAAATAGGGCCCCGGAACCAATACAGGGAGTCGGGGTAGAAAGGATGGGATCCGAACTTTCAACCTTCAGAGAACAAGGCAAACAGCTTAACTGTTCCGCAACGGCGTTAAGAAAACATTTCGTGTGGCATCTTTGCAAACACAACGTAGCGACTAGGTGACGAAAACACGAACTAAATGTCAATGTTTATAGAGGCAGTGAAGATCACGAAGAGGGACACGAGATAGGGTAGGGGAAATATGGATTACATAGAATCAAGGGTAGGTAGTAGGTAGATTTAGATTCAAAAATAGACAGATTGCGTACGGCTAGGGTGCAGTCACTAACGCATCAAGGGACTGGATAAACGTATAGCTTGGGGCGCCTACAGGCTGACGCACATACAGACAGAGGGAAATACAGAGAGATGGGCAAATCAGTCAAACACATTTGACATACATTAGACAAACAGACAGACAAATGGATGGATACGTAGGTAGCTTGGTGGACAGACGGACAGGCAAAATAACAGACGGTAGACAGACAGACAGATAGACAGACAGACAGACAGACCAGACAGACAGACACACAGACAGACAGACATATTATATAGATTATATAGATTAGACAGAAAAACAGACAGACAGACAGACAGACAGACAGACAGACAGACAGACAGACAGACAGGCAGGCAGGCAGGCAGACAGGCAGGCAGACAGGCAGGCAGGCAGGCAGATAGATAGATAGATAGATAGATAGATAGATAGATAGATAGATAGATAGATAGATAGATAGATAGATAGATAGATAGATAGATAGATATAGATAGATAGATAGATAGATAGATAGATAAGATAGATAGATTAGATAGATAGATAGATTAGATAGATAGATAGATTAGATAGATAGATAGATAGATAGATAGATAGATAGATAGATAGATAGATAGATAGATAGATAGATAGATAGATAGATAGATAGATAGATAGATAGATAGATAGATAGATAGATAGATAGATAGATAGATAGATAGATAGATAGATAGATAGATAGATAGATAGATAGATAGATAGATAGATAGATAGATAGATAGATAGATAGATAGATAGATAGATAGATAGATAGATAGATAGATAGATAGATAGATAGATAGATAGATAGATAGATAGATAGATAGATAGATAGATAGATAGACACATTGAGACAAGCAGATACTTATTTGAAACTCAACCTTGAAGTTTCGCTTTCTCACGGTCTGTGTGAAAGAATGACTAGCACATTTGAATTCCGGTCAGCCAGAGGCCACCCGCTCGCTGCATGGGTATAGACAAACAAGGAGAGTCTGTGACACGAAGTTGTATTACCGAAGCAGAGGTGCGTGCAGTTAATGTTAGTTTACTTCTTGTGCTCGTCTGGACAGGTTAACCGGCGACTGGGTCGCCCACTGGCTCGCCGGTAGACGACTTTTCAAGGATTTCAGTGGCGTGTAATGCTAAGCTATTTTATATGGCACACACAACCTAGTCACAAATATAACCTAAATTTCTCCCTGGTTGAATGTGACGATTTTTTTTCCTCGCAACAAAGCACCTACCACCTGTCTGGACAGGTCTGCGTTTGCTTTTTATTTTTATTTTTAAAGGCCGGTCCGAACCCTGCTCTGGTAAGAGGCGCTGGAACTTGGTAGCTGGTGCATCTTGAAACCCCCTCCCCCGCTCTTCCTCGCCACCTATTAGACAATTTGTAAGTAGGCTAATGTCAACACTCCCGCCACCACCGGCCAACCTTTAGACAATTTGTAAGTAGGCTAATATCCACACTCCCGCCACCACCGGCCAACCTTTAGACAATTTGTAAGTAGGCTAATATCCACACTCCCGCCACCACCGGCCAACCTTTAGACAATTTGTAAGTAGGCTAATATCCACACTCCCGCCACCACCGGCCAACCTTTAGACAATTTGTAAGTGGGCTTACACCCATACCCCCCCCCCCCCACCCGCTAACAATGCGGAGGCACAAATAGATCATCACGGTCTAAGGAGAATGGCGCTGCGAGGAGTTACGATAATCCAATGGGATCCGGTCGAAGGTCAACACTCAAGGGAAAGGCGAGATGGGTGTACAATCAGACAGTTACTGATACCATCAGAAATGGAACTCTTCGCTTGCTGCTGAAGATGAGGACAGAACGCTTACGGGAGTGTCCCAAGTGCTATGATGTCGCACTGACAGTGGTAATACCCTCAAAGTGATAAAAAGATCCGTGGATTTTGGCAGCAGCGTCATTGCGAAGAAAAGGAGAACGGAGTAAAGATCGGCATAGCTAAGCATGAGAGGCACACCGTATGTACAAGAAGTCTTGTTAACCAGCATAGAACTGGCGCTGTTAAATCGGGAAGCTGATGTAAATGTTGAGGAAATCTGAGCACTTATGGATATCTCTGAAGTGCCGTGAAGATAACCCAACTCAAAACTGACACGTTGTAACGTGCACTCCTGTGAGAGTAACGACCGGTACAACCTCATGAAGTGTCCATTGTCACTGTCGGTTAAACAGACATTGTGCTGCCCCCAAAATTTAGCTGGCTGCAAAATATCCACTGCTTATCAATGGACTGTTATGTGATAAAGCCCCAATCTCTTTCTGGGTTTGACGAGAACGTTTATTTCTTTTTTTTAAAGTTCCCATCATAGGAACTTAAAATGAAACTTAAGATCTTCAACTCTTGTGTGATTCCAATGCTAATTTATGGGTGCTAGAGTTGGAAAGCAGGGTAGCTCTAGATTTTTAAAAAAAAAAAATAACAATTTTGAGAACAGATGTCTTAGAAGAATTCTAAATCGCAACTGGACAGATTTCAGATCCCACAGGCAAATAAGACAAGAGAACAAGCAATAAAATGTTTCAAATTTTAAAAGAAAGCGCCGCTGGAACTACAGCCACCATGTACTCAGAATGGTAAAGACAATACTCCTTCACCAAGCCCTTATATGGACACCAGAAGGGGGAAAAACGGGGAAAACCAAGAGTGACCATGCGTAGAACCATCATCAAGGAAGGTTAAACTACGGGTCTAACGAACATTTAAGACCTAAAACAGGTAGCAACGAACCACTAGACAGAGAGAGAGCTATGACCTCTGCCCAATGCGCCGCTCCACGCTCAAGAGGAAACACTAACTAAAACTAACTAATCATGGGAA